TAGTAGCTGATCCATCACTGCTAATGTTTTAGATCTTTGTCCCAGTGTCCTCCTTTTTCCTTTCCAGTCTGGATTAGCAGCTCATTGGGCTTTCTAAATATAGCTGCTGATCTGGGCTTTCCTTTCCCATGACCTGGGACCTCCCTTATCTATTTTCCTATATTGGGTTCTTCTCTTCCTATTTGTTGAAATATTTCCCTGGTTTTGCTGAAGCACCTGCTCTAGTAGCTTCCCAAGGAAAAAAATCAGTGTCAAGTAAATTTTTTAAGTTTTGCATATCCTTATTTTCTTCATGTATTTGATTAAGCTTGATAATTTTCCTCCGAATTTTGGATGTATTTCTCCATTTACTTCCACCCTTTGGTGTCTGTGTTAGGAAGCTCAATGCTATTTTGATTTCCACTTCTCTGGGTTTCTTTTTCTTCTTTCTTGAGATTTTAGGATCTTCTCTTCATCCCCGTTGTTATAAAATGTCTTATCATGTGCTGTAGGTTGATCTCTTTCTATTCCTTATGCAACTTGCCTCTGATAGGTGTGAGAAATTTTTCTGGTTTCTTTTGTTATAATCTTTTATTTCATTTTTAATAATCTTATATTTTCTCTGGCCCCCTTTTCTGTGAGTCTTATTAATAGGATATTAGACCTATTAATCCCAATTTAAGGATTTTATTTGGAGAAATGCTTGTGTGGAAGGATATAGGAAGGGAGTCAGGAAAGGCTGGGCCAGCTGTCAGACCAGGATGCTAACCTGACCCAAGTGAAGAAAAGGAGTGTTTTAGATACTCCTAGAACCTAACATCCAGCAAAGCTGCCAGGGGATCCTTAAGCCAAAGGTTTCAGACAGAAGAGTCCCCTGTCTGTCAGCAACAGGTCAGCCTTAGTATTTCTTCTGCACTCAATCATTGGTAGTAGTCTAAGCCAAGGCAGCATGGACTCAGCCCAAGCACAGTTTTAGATTCAAAGTGAAGCATCTGGGGCACTGGTCAATTACCTTCCCCGAGGTTTGAGGTGCCACCATCATGGACACTACTATAAAGCAGGTTCCGTTATCACTGTTATGACTGAATGTGTTCATTTATGTAATGTGCTTAGAGCAGTGTCAGACACATTATGAGAATTTTTTTCCCCAGCTTTATTAAGTTATAATTGACTAAAACATTATATTATATTTATGATGTACAGTGTGATGTTTTGATATATGTACACATTGTGAAATGATTAAATCAAGCTAAGTCACATATCTACCACCTCACATACTTATGTTTTTATAGTGACATTTAAGATCATCTCTTTTAGCAATTTTCAAGTACACATTATTATTAACCACAGTGACCATGCCATACAATAGATACCCAGGACTTATTCATCCTGCATAATTGAAACTTGGTACCCTTTAACCAACTACCATAGCTCTCCACCACCACCCCCAGTCCCTGGAAACTACCATTCTACTCCCTGCTTCTACGAGTTTGACTTTTTTAGATTCCACATATAAGTGAGATCAAGCAATTCTTTCTGCACCTGGCTTATTTCATCTAGCATAATGTCCTCCAAGTTCGTCTATTCTATGTTGTCAACAAATCACAAGATTTCCTTCTTCTTTAATGCTGAAGAGCATTCCATTAAACACACACACACACACACACACACACACACACACACACACACCAGTTTCTTTATTCATCCATCCATGGATGGACACTTAGGTTCATTCCATATCTTGGTTATTATGAATAATGCTGCAATAAACATGGGAGTGCAGAAATCCCTTTGACATACTGATTTCATTTTCTTTGGATAGATACCCAGAAGTGGGATTGCTGGATTATATGAAATTCTATTTTTAACTTTTTGAGGAACCTCCCTACTATTTTCCATAATGGCAGTACTAATTTATATTCCCACCAACAGTGTACAAAGGTTCTCTTTTCGCCACATCCTTGACACTCACAAAGTGTTAACTATTGCTATTGAGTGCTAAGAAGCAGCCCAGGATGGTATGTAATTAGACAAAGGAATTGTTATAAATTTTATGCTCTAAACTTCAGGATCTATTTACTTTTACTTTAAGCACTATTTTAATGGGCTTGGCTAGCTTGACTACAAGTCATCTGCAGGTTAGAAATGACACATTAAAAAGAGATCAAAAGCTTATTAGTATTATGACAATAAGAAAGCTGTAAAATGTGAGTTTGATAGCAGAAGAGACAGAAAAGACAATAAAAAGCAAACACAATGACAAAAGCACATATTTTTAGCGGTTTTAACATTAGGAAACTTAGCTTCAAAAACTGCAATAGAATATTGGTGCCTCATGGTATTACATAAAATGTACTAACTGACGTTCATAATAATGACTGATGTATCAACAAAATGCTTTATCAGCACTTTGAGGAGGTAGGAAAGTATGAAATGCATTTTAAAGTGATTTCCATACAGAATGCTTACAAAAATAAAAAACATTGCATAATCTCATTCATATGCAGAATTTAAAATATACAGGGGTAGAAAACAAAACAGTGGTTACCAGGGGCAGGAGGTGAAGGTAGGAAGGGGAGAAAATGTGGGGATGTAGGTCAGAGCATACAAAGTAGCAGATACATAGGATGAACAAGTCTAGAAATTTCATATACAACATGAGGACTAAAGCAACAAAATTATACTGTATATAGAATTCCTGCTAAATAAGTAGATTTTAGGTGCCCTTAACACAAAGACAAAATAAAAAATTGGTAACTGTGTGAGATGATAGATCTGTTAATTTGGCTCACTACAGTAATCTTTTTTACTGTCTATTTGTATCCCGTAACATCGTGTTGTATACCTTAAAGATACACAATAACATTTATTTTAAAAATAAAAATCAAAAATCAAAAGGGAGTTGAACTCATTAAAAAAAAAAATAGAAAACTGCAGAGGAGCTCCATAGAAATAATAAATCCTGAATACTAGACAGCTGATAGTTTTCTTGATTCATCTGATTGAATATATGGCTCTTTTTTGTTTTTCTGTGCATGGTTCCACATCATTTCTTAGTATCGCTTGACAATAAACAATCTTTACTCTGCTCATTTTAGGACCTCATTTTATATTGAGATCCCCACACCTTTTGCAGCATTTGTCATCACTGCTAGGCTCACTTGCTTCCGAGGCAAACAAAGTCTCTATGATAAATCATGAATATCAGTAGAAATTCCAAGCCATCTACATTAAGCCTCTGAGATGGGTTTGGCCATTTTTGTGAAGGACACAAAGAGGGCTCTAACTCCTGTGGCACACACCTCCACATGTCTGCTTTGACATTGTCTGCCTCTGCTTCCTTGACAGCAGGCTGCATTTTGACAGCAGAACCCTGTTTCCACTCAGCTTTCCTTTGCACATGTTCCTGTTTTTGCACATGAGCCTCTGACACACACATTGCCTGCACAAACACTAGGTTAACAACAAAATCGCTAGTGTGGGGTATAACATCAACACCTTTGGAGAGTAACTATAGAACTCTATGATGGCTCATTTTCTAACCTCTCAGGAGTACTATCTGAGCCTGAAAAGCGGCTTTCTAGAGCAAAAGTGTTCCATCCTGAAACCGTGGGACAGCAGCAGCCACTCCAAGAGTGAAACATAGAAAAAGAGAGAGAAAGAGAGAGAGGAGAGAAACGAGTTTAAGAGCAGAGAGATACATACTACAAGCAAATAGAGACAACATGACAGCATGCTCATAGTATCTGGAACATATTACAGGGTTAGGAACAAAAGCAGAATCAGCTTCATTTTCCCACTGATTTGTAAGCTCCTTGGGAACAGATCTCCTTTTACTTGCATCTACACTAAATAAAATTTATCAGGAAGAAAACACTGTCATGCTAAACAGGCAGTGCTGAACTCATGTTTGATAATAAAACACAAGAGACAATGTCCTAAAAGCAATTTATTCCCAACATTGCTGTTAGGATTAAAATAGTGGTTAATTTTGCATAGGTTTAATTTTTCCCAATTCCTGGCTGTTACCTCCTTTTAAGCTTGTTTCTTGGCTTTGGAAAAGGGATCAAAGGATTGTGCTAAATTGCATACAATGGACAGCCAGTCTTTTAAAAATTGCATTCAATTTGTTATCCCTACTTTCTCTTCTATTATCACTTGCACAGCCTTCTGTAGTCATCTATTTTTTCTATTCATAGTCTTTTCCACCTTCCCTTTTATTCTAGTCAGCATCTGTACATTGTGAAATATACAAATCTACAGGTAAAGTAACTGAAATATACAAGAAAACTCAGGCAGAACTTGAGCCTGGTATGTTAGGTTGTTAATTTTTGTCGCATTTTTTCTATTCCATTTCTTCTTTTCTCTGCACATCTTTGTATTTTTTCAAGAAGTAAAATTAAATGCACTGTATCTCCTCAGGAATGAGTAAATTCAAGACAATAGTTGAATAACAATCTTTAGAAACTGAAATTTGTCTGAATTTAAAACCATAAGTTGTTTTGATTTTCCACAAACTAAACTGGTCAGATATGAAAAAAAGTATTATAAAGCATTCTAACTTTTGAGTACAGACAACATGTTGGCTAATTTGTGTTGATTTTTATCGGCCAATCTACATGCAATCATACTTTTAAAAGCAGATTCCTATAATTTGCTTTTCTATAAATGTCACCAATGCATTAAATACTTTGAAAACAGTCTTTGTAAATCAATCTGCACTTATTAGATTTATTTAAACGATAGCATTAGAATTCCATGCCGAGAGTTAATTTGGTTTTAAAATAACTCCCTACATGCAGAACATTTCCAAGAGCAGAGAGGCTAGTTCCCAATTACTTTCACGCCGTCAGTGCTAAATGTGTTTAATGACTCACTTACCTACAAGCTGTGGGATGTCTGAAGACCTCTCTGTTCAGTGGGATGTACATATTTTATCTAAGGCTATTTTATAGCAAAAAAAGTGGAAATAATGCAGAACCACAGCATTTTCAGACCAAATGAAAAGTAAAATTTCTTACCTTGTTCATGTCAAAGGTATTATAAACTTGATTAACATGGTGGTTGGCCTTTTGATTCAGACCCTGAAGACCCAAAAGTGTCTTAAATTCATGTAGGGTTTGCAAGCCGGATGGATATTCCATCATAAATGTTCTGTACCACACATAGGTCTCTTGTGTAGGAATTGCTATTTGACCACCAGCTACAGACCCGCTGCTCCCCATTGTGAATTGCAGTCTACAGTGTTTGCTGTAGTTGTTTTCACGCAAGTTTTCTCTGGATTTAGTCTCTCACGCTTCACTCAAACTTGAGGTTAACATATGCCCTCAGAAAGCTACTCTAAACCTCTTACTGCTACAGGGCTAAGTAAGAATAGAAAGCCAGTGAGATTAACTCATTTGCACAGTTTTAAAACCAAGGTTATTTATCCCTAACTGATGGTATTGTGCTTATAGCCATCCAGAGGCGTGTAGTTTCCTGTGAAGGGCAGAAGCGCTATTTTAGAGAGGGTAGTTCTTGAAATGTTGTTAGCCATAAAATTATACCTGCATTATTGAGTGGTACAGTGGGTCTAATGGAAGAAACTTTGAGTTGCAATCGGGAAGCCCAGATTCTGGGCTTTGTTTCACCACTTATTACCTATCTTATTACATTGTAACATTACTTAGGTTCTAATGTCTCAGTCTCTCCACCTGTAAAATAGTAATAACAGTACCTGCCTTTTCATATCTGAGAATTGTGAAGATAAATTTAGATGAACATATTTACATGGAAAAATTATACATTCTGAGTATTGTTGAATTAAAATGAAGTCTATGTATAAGAGAGGAAAACAGAGATTATCAGATAATTACAGTAAGGAGAGTTGGAGATGTAGTAGTCAGTAAAGTGTGGTCTGAAGATAAAGCAACATATGGGCCTGTGACTTCTGGCATTGTTCTTCCTTCCCACCCCCATCCCCGTTCCTGTCTTTTCTGACTCTCAGGTATACACATGGCCTTGGCCTGCCAGCTTTATAGTACTCCAGTTGCCTAATGTGGCTAGTCTTGTCCTAACCAAGCTGCAATTGCCAATGGACTTGGGAATAGTGTCAATGGACCTAAGAACTGGCTCCATGGTCCAGGAGTGAAAATGATTTCCCTGTGTGGTTCTCAACCCATTTTGCTACAAATCATACTTAGAACCAGATGACCATACTTGGAAATAATGTAATTATGGTACTGCTAAATTCTAGTTCTACTCTTTGAACCTCACTCAATTCTTTATCCTATTTCCATTTTAGCTCAGTTCATATATCTGGTTTCTGCCTTCATTCCTATTCATTAGTCCTGACTGATTACCCATTTAAAATCCCAGATTCCCCAAGAACTGGAACCATTGTGGCCTAAATGAACTGCCTTGACAGGAAGTGGTGGTGGTTAGGGTGACTATGATGAACTTTTTTCCAAATATACCAATGTAAACTTTCAATAGGACAATTCTATTTCATAGAGTGAAATAATAGGTGTTTGATAAGGTCATAGAACTTTGGAACTTACCCATTTGGAAGTATTACTTAACACCATTAAAGTGATTTCTTGTGCAGAGTAAAAAGAACAAAGATGAGAGAGTGAGGACTCAGCCTTGAGGACTATCCCACCAGAATTTTCAAAAAGCTTTCTCTGGGGAAGTCCCTCTTCAGACTCTTTCTAAATGCCTGCCAGAAGGGTGCTCAGAGGCTTTGACTTAGCACCATTAACATTTTTAATCACTAACTTTTAGAATAAAGGAAAAGTGAATACTGATGGTGGTAGAAGGAGATAATGCAGGTTTTCAAGGGTCAAGAAAATCCTTGGTGGAGGGAAAACTTTGCACAAATCAAGAATACAATGACCTAAAATCCAGAAACTATTTCTTCATATGCTTTTTAAAAATTTTTCATAGGCCCACCACAAGAGACTGGGAGGCAAAGGAGGGAAAATTGTTTAAGGCTAGGAGTTTGGGACCAGCCTAGGCAATAGTGACACTGATCTCTACAAAAAAGTAAAGCAATTAGCCAGGGATGGTGGTGCACACCTGTAGTCCCAGCTACTCAGGAGGCTGAGCTGGGAGGATTATTGAAGCCCAGGAGTTGGAGGCTGCAATAGACTATGTTGACACCACTGCACTCCAGCCTGGGTGACAGCAAGACTCTCTCCCCAAAAATAAAATACTAAAATAAAACATTAAAAATCTGCATAATGATTATTTGCTGATGCAGAAAAACTTAAAACTATTTGTAGAATGAGAATTCTTATATTGGAAAAATATTGATATCCAAAAAGCAAGAGGCTTGATGTATGTAACATAAACCAGTCATAAAATAATGGAAAAAAGCTTCCATTTATGAGAAGCTAAGGAATAGATCTAATTACAATAACTGTAACTAGGAATGTGCAAGATGTATTTAAAGAAAATTTTTTAATGGTACTACAGAGCAACCAAAGAAGACTTCAGCATGCAAAAAGGCATATTTTGTACTTAGGGAAATGACTTGGTATCAAAAAACATGTCGATTTTGTATTTATACTATCACCCCAAACCTAAGAAAATAAAATTTGAGGGGTGGTGACTTAAAATCTAATTCTAAGGGTAAATGAGAATTAGACATGCAAAGATACACAGGAAAATACTGAAAAATAAAATTAATTAGCCCTACTGAAACATGAGTCTGGCATAACAAAAGATGGAACACTCAATTAAAAAAAATAGATATATTTTTTTCTTTTTTTAGAATTAGGCTCAAATACAAATAGAAATTTAACATACAATAAATGTGGCATTGCAGATCAGTGGGGAAAGGATTCATTTTTCAATTAGTAATTCTGGGATGATGCCTTGGCCATCTGAAAATATACACACACACATCTACATGCACAAAGTTGGATTTGTGACTTACTTCTTAGTCCCAAATAAATTCTGGATGAATCAAAGGTTTAACAATATAATTATTAACATCACTATAAGAAAATAAAATTGTTTTATAATTTTAGCATGGAAAAGTCCTCTTTAAATATGATTACATGGAATCGACCTAAGTGTCCATCAATGGATGAATGGATAAAGAAATTGTGGTACATATATACAATGGAATATTATATAGCCACAGAAAGGGCAAAATACTGTAATTTGAAACAATATGGATGGAACTGGAGAAAATTATATTGAGTGAAATAAGCCAACCACAGAAAGACAAATCTTACATGTTCTCACTCATATGTGGGAGCTAAATATTAAAAACAATTGATCTCATGGAGACAGAGAATAGAATGATAGTTACCAGAGGCTGGGAAGGGGAGTGGGGAGGGGCAGGGTAGATAAAGTGGGGATGGTTAAAGGGTGCAAAAATATAGTTAGAAAAAAATATGATTACAGAAGCCATAAACAAAAGACCGTTAAACTAAAATATTTTAAAAATCTCACATGAATCAAAACACTATAAAAACATAAAAAATAAAATTTTAAAGAAAATATTTGTAAAATATATTGTATAAAAAAGACAATTTCCCTAATATGAAAAATAGTTCTTACAAAAACCAGTAAGAAAAATAGCTACCATCACAGGAAAATGGATAAAGGCCAAATTTTAAAATTCAAATGACTTTTAAACATATAAGATGCTCAACTGCACTCAAAATATTAGAAATGTACAGTAAAACTACAAGGATATAGCACAATACAACTACAGTAAATGTATAGTAAAATGAGAAGGATATAGTCATTTGATCAGCAAGATAAGAAATTTTGATAATTCACTGAGCAGATGAAGATGAGAGGAAACAGACACTCATACATTGCTATAGGAGTATATGTTAATGAAATTTTTATGGAGTGCTATTAGGCAACATCTATTAATAATAAAATATGTATGAACCCTTTGACCCAGCAATTCATCTTCCAAGATACTTGACAGGTACATGTGTGAAATGAACAAATTTACAAAGATATTCACTGTTGTGTACACGTAAATCCAAAAGAACTGAAAAACCAAAATAGTCATTGATAAGGGAATAAATAAGTCCACTATTTCCATAGAATAGAATAATAAGGAACAGTTAAAGATACTGAGAGATTATTTCATTATCTCTCAGTACATGTATACTATTCCATGTACTGTTTATTATTACATGATCCTGATAGGGAATGATTTTTAAGGCATATTGAGTGGAAAAAAACACGGCATCTTTTGAATGCTATTACATCCTTATTTATAGCTTTGTAATTGTTCATATGGTTTTATGCACATTGATTGGGAATGAATTTATGAGTAACTAGTAAAAGCATGCCTCTTGAAAAGAGTAATTAAGTGGCTAAAAATGTCTGTTCGTGTCCTTTGCCCACTTTTTTTTTTTTTTGAGACAGAGTCTCACTCTGCCATCCAGGTAAAATGCAGTGGCATCTTCAAACTCCTGGACTCAAGTAATCTTCTTGCCTCAGCTTCCCAAGTAGCTGGGACTACAGGCATGTGCCACGACACCTGGCGAATTTCTACTTTTTGTAGAGGGGTCTTTTTGTAGAGTGGTCTTGCTCTTTTTGCTTAGGCTGGTTTCAAACTCCTGAGCTCAAGTAATTCTTCCACCTCAGCCGCCAAGAGTGACAGGATTATAGGCATGAGCCACCATGCCCAGCCTCTTTGCTCACTTTTTAATGGGGTTATTTGGTTTTTTGTCACTGAGTTGTTTGAATTCCTTGTAGATTCTAGACATTAGTCCTCTGCTAGATTCACAGTTTGCAAATATTTTCTTCCATTCTGTAGGCTATTTACTCTGTTGATTATTTCTTTTGCTGGGCAGAAGCTCTTTAGTTTTAATAAGTACCATTTGTTTATTTTTGTTTCATTTGTTTTTGGGGTCTCAGTCATAAATTCTTTGCTTAGGCCAATGTCCAAAGAGAGTTTTTCCTACTAATCATCTGATAAATGCAAATTAAAACCACAATAAGATACCATCTTAGTCCAGTTAGAATGACTATTAAAACGTAAAAAAATAATAGATATTAGAGACGATGTGGAAAAAGAGAACACTTACACACTGTTGGTAGTAATGTAAATTAGTACAACCTCTATGGAAACAGTATGGAGATTCCTCAGAGAACTAAAAATAGATCTACCATTTGATATAGCAATCCCACTACTGTGTATATATTCAAAGGAAAATAAACCATTATATCAAAAAGATATCCATACACATATGTTTATCACAGCACTACTCACAATAACAAAGATATGGAACCCACCTGAGTATACATTAATTGATTATTGAATAAAATAAATGTGGTACACGTTACACACACACACAGACACAGATCCATGGAATACTACTCACTCATGGAGGCCATTATCTTAAGTGAAATAACTAAGAAACAGAAAGTCTAACACCACATGTTCTCATTTATAAGTGGGAACTAATTTATGAGTATACATGGACACAGTGAATACATTGGCCTTTGGAGACTCAGAAGTGTAAGAGGGTGGGAGAGGAGTGTGGGAGGAGAAACTACCTAATGGGTAGTATGTACACTAACCAGATAAGGGCTATACAAAAAGCCCAGATTTCACCACTATGCAATATATCCATTTAACACATCTACACAGGGAGGGAGGGAGGTAAGGGAGGGAGGGAGGAAGAAAGGAAGGAAGGAAGGAAGGAAGGAAGGAAGGAAGGAAGGAAGGAAAGAAAAACAGAGAGAGAAGAAAGGAAGGAAGAAAGAAAGAGGCTAAAGACAAGAATGGGACAAAGAGTTTTCACTATATTCTGTTTCCCATGTTCTGAATTTTGTACTATGTGCATATACATAAATTAAAATTATACAATACTACAAACGAATATTGAACGTTTTATTATTTTTGTCCAAAGTTTCAGACATTTCTAAACAAACAAAACAACCAGTTATCAAGGAAAGTATAAAAACATAAATTTTACTTATGTGTAATATACATACATATTATGCTTGAGAGGTATATTCTTTTACTATGACTAAATAAAATTATAACATAAACTATATCTGAAAGTTTTTTGGAGGATGATATTTTCTGCTTTACTGAGTATTGGCTATAGTGGAGAAAGAGCATAATGTCTTTCTTTTTGAATATCATTTCAAGAGGAGGTGATTCTGCAGTCCTTTGTATACTGATTTTGAAAACCACTATTTTCAAGTTTTCCAATTTTTTAAGTAAAAACAAAATTAAGCTTGAGTGACATTTTCATTTTTATTGGTAGCTCACATGGGAATTGGAGGAGTTTAGAAATTATTTCTGAGAGACAATGAAGAGTTACAAAATAGGATTAGGGATATATAAATTGTAAATCAGTCTCCATTTCTGAAGTATACAATTTTCCTAGAGTTAAACTGTGTGAACTTGACAATAACAAAAAAGGAAAAATTTTTGAAAATAATTTTCCAATTTTCTTATTAGAATTTTTAAAAGGGAATATATTTTCTGAGTTTTAATTTTGAGAAGTTCTTTCATTTTTTTCCTAAAGGAAGACTATGTCCTACATCTACAGTCACTTTATTTAAAGTGTTCTGGAAAAGGAGATTATCTTCTTTAAGCAAAGCTTCTAAATAACTGTCAATCTGCTCCAGGTCATCTGCGGGACCACCCTGGAAAAGAGAAGCAACAATCAAACCAGGGAAAGAAGCTGCAGTTTATTCCTGTAATCTGGGTGGCCCCCTAACAGTCTTACCCATGAATCACTTACCAAGAAAACCCATCTTGCATTTGATTCATGCTTTTAACTTTTCAAGGTGTTTTCTCGCTTAATCTCATTTCATTTTCACAAGTGGTTAGGAACTCGGATCATTTTTTTTTCTTTAGTGGAAGTTAGTTTAACTGGTTTTTTTCCTCCCTGATTTTTAATGAGTTGTCATTTCTTAAGGCCCCCTTACCTCAATCTCATCCTTCTGCTGTATAGTCTCTTACCTCCCATTTTTAAAATTTATGAATCTTTACCTTTGTAGGCAAAAACAGACAAGTAGGCAAATTTTGACTTCTCTATTTCTTCTCTTTCCATTGAAGCATCTTTTCCCTCACCCCTGGCTTGCTGTCCTGATCTGTCTCCTCCTCTCCATTCTCCCCTCTCCTTTTTCCCCAGCTCCCTGCTGGTGCAAATTTGCTCTCCTTCCCTGAGCTTCTTGGTCCATGGGACAGCTAGATATATACTCCCTCTTTACTGATCTAAAACTCACTCCCTCAGTACCAACCATGCGGTCAACTAGCTCAACTGAACAGAGGCAGAAAAGAATTTTTAGGAAGGACCTATCAGAACCAAACCCAGCTTTATTACTGTTCCCACTAACTGCCCAGCACCACCATCTTTGTCTCCTTGTCTCTTCTCTGGTTCTATAAAATGTGCTTCTGCTTTATTCCCTCTTAGATTTGCTCAGTCCTCTAATAAGTCTGAATTATATTGAGTCCAGCTTTGCAATGGGGTCCCATTTCAGATGGGTTTCCATGATGTTAATGTTTACCTAGATGTCCAAGTATTCACTGACCCTGAAGCAGGCCCTGTGCCCCTTCCTGACACTGACCACTTAGCCTGTTAGGTATAGTCTTAATATTTTTGCTATTATTCTTTGTCTGGCAGACTAAACTTTCCCTAGGAGATTAGGTTGATTTTATGCTCGTCTTCCTCATGTGTCTGCACCCCTCTCTCTGGTTTGGATCCTTTATCTCTATCCTCTGCTCTACTCTACTGCAGTGGCTCTGGCAATTAGAGACAGTGAAGGGGAAATTTCAAGTGGGGAGATGAGAGTAATATATTCGGACAGGAGCCCTTTCAGTACCTCTCCTCTAAGACTAGGCAAAGAGTTTCATACTCTGCTGGCTAAAGCCCTTTACCTTCCTAGCAAACTTTGTGAATAAAGCAATTTAAATTAGTATAATTACTCTGGATAGTCTGGGAGAACCCAGGGTTCGGCCACAGAAAATGATTACTCTTCCATTTTTTCTTAGCCAAGCAAAGATTTGCTGTTATGAAAGCCAATACTTTTTATGAACTCTTTTGATAGAAAGTGGTATTCAATTTCTATGATATAAATTTTTTTTGGTCCTTCTATTTTTTCTGGTTAGTGAAACAATAATCATCACTGAAGCTCTACCATTTATCAGGCTCCACACCAGACCTTTTATTATATAAAAACATTTGCCATCCTTCACAGCCGTAAGAACCGAAGGGAGCGTCACTCAAATTCCACTCTTATCGTAATAAACAAACCCTACCAACTGGATGAAGTGGTATTATTGATAGAAGCACAAATACAATTTCCTTTGTATAAAAACAATTAGTATGAAATAGGCTCACTGTTCTGGCTTGGATTTCTTAACTTACTTCTAGCATCTACAGAAAGATTTTTCATCTTTGACTATATGTGTGTGTGTGTGTGTGTGTTTTGTGTGTGTGTTTCACACACACTTTAAATATCATTACATTCTATCCAGCATTTCTATGTACTGTAAAAAATGGATCCTTCCTCACTAGTTCAATCTATCAGAGAAGCTCAATTTATGCATAAAAATATGCAAACAAAACTGACAGCAATCCATACTTACACGACATTTCCCAATTTCTCCAATCTCTCCTATAAGATTAGAAGGGTTTATCTTTATTTATGCATTAAGATAAAAAATACATTAAAATATTTTGCTGTCAGAAAAAACTGGAAACATTTTCCTACTGGACACATGATATTGAGAAGACACTGAGGGTGGTGATTCTATACCAACAGTACAAGCAAAAATTCTAAATTTTTTAAGATAAAAAAGAACAGGAATTTAAAAAATGTTCTAGTATTAATATATACATTCCAAGTTTATTTACTTATGATTTCAATATCCTTACAGAAAGAGTAAGGGCTGAATTAAGTAACTTGGCCAAGGTCAGTAAGTGAAAGACAATATCAGGAGAGAAAGCTAGCTAGCTAAATGTTCTTTCCACAGAATATATTCATACTACTCAAACAAAATCTCATCACTCACCAGCTGAAGTTTCTGCAACAATACTGCCAGTTTAACACGAAGATTCTTCAGTTTATCCTCAGTAATTTTTCTTTTCTCTTCACATTGCCCCAGAGAAACTTCATTAAGTACCCCTCTTTTATTTGCTTCATAGATAATGGACTGCATTTTTTTCTTTAGTCTTTTTTCATATTGGACCATGTAAATATTCTGAATCTGGAAATGTTTTTGAAAACAATTTCAGTACTTTTTAAAAATATTACTTTTCTCCCCAATATCACAAGGCAATTTTATATTCCAACTCTGTACATACATGCCAAGTGTCAACTCTATACTTGAAGTGCAACATGTAGTCTAAATATAAGACATGTTGATACCCTTAAGGAACTTACAATCTTATGGAAGAGGGAGAGAGGAGGAAAAATGTACAATGTTCCAGTAATTATAATATAAGGATGAGAGAGGCACTGCAAGGTGGAGTCACTTTGCCTTTAGTATAAAGAAGGAACCCTATAGAGGTTCAATTTGTTCTCCCAATAGTGGTATTAGACTATTCAAGGTACAAAGTGGGTAGGTGTCTGGGACCCTCTCTCCACAGTCCCAGTAACTCACAGGCAATGAGAACAGCCAGCCACTTGGGGCTGTCTTGGCAGATGATGTAGTGTTATTTATAATTCAAGTCTATAGTGTCTATAAAGCGCAAAAGCTACAGTAAGAGGAATTCCTCTTCCTCTCTTTGGGTTCCTTATGCTGATATAAAGAATACGGACAGTTTTGCATACGACCCTTACTAATTCAAGAATCTTGGTTGTTTTCCAAAATCTCACGTTGTGCCTGAAGCACTCATGAAGTACAAAGAGGTAATGGATATGCCAAATGCTGCAAGTTCACAATGACATTAACTGCTTGAATCAACATTTTGAGAAGGCCAAAAGATCTTCTGAGAAAAGAGATACAGGGCAAATCCTATTTTGATAAACATTTGAATGCTTCTGTAACAGGGATATTTCTGTGTTCTGATATGACTGAGTTGCCAGGAAAATTGTAAGGAAATTTTGTTTGTCTTCTGGGCCTACTCAACTTGTTTTGCCACCCTCCACCACACTGACTACAGGCAGACCCTTCCCCGACTGTCCAGATCATTCCCTTTAGCACTCATGGACTTCATGAGTTTCTTTTCTTCCTATAAAATCCTTAAAACAAGCAAGAAAAACCCCTACATATAGGAAGTTCTATTAAATAAATATTCACTAACTACTTCCTCATTCGAAAGCAGTGAATTTAATTATAGTTGCAAAATACAGTCATTGCCCTCAAGAACTTCCTAGTCTACAGCATGAGATAATACAAGTTTGCAAATATTATATCTTCAGGGAGAAAGGGTATGGATTATTCATCATATTAAAGAGAATTAAAGTCCTGACTTAGAGTACTTGACTTGGATTTATGTCTATAACTTACCCCTTGATTGTTTGTACTTTTCATGTACTATTAATTGAGAGACATATTTGGGAGCAGGGACCCAAACTGACCTCCACATTGGCACTGTGTGTCTGTGTGTGTGCGCCTGTATGTACAATAGTGGTAGTGGTAGTAGTAGTCTGTTAAAAGTGAGACTAATTGTGAGATTTATAGGCTGTCCTGCAAAGAAATCTTAGATTTTCAGAGTCTTAAACTGCCTTGAAGCTATAGGGGCCACCAAGAATTAGACTGAAATCCCTGACCTGGCTCTGCCTATTCTTACCTTATTTCCCGAATTCTAGACCTCATTATTCTAGGAACACATCAAGCCCATTCCTGCCTCAGGTCCATTGCTCTTGCTGTTTTTTCTGTTTGGTAAGTTCAACCCCAGATCTGCACAAGGCTCACTCCTTGCCTTAGGTCTGTGTTGAAACAACACATTCTCAGATATTCCTTGCCCGCTGCACCTGACACACCACCCCAATATATTAATACACCTCTGTCTATTACCTGGCCTTGCAGTTATTTTATGACACACCATATCATATGTTTATTTACAAGTTTATCATATATCATTGTGTCTCTGCGTAATGTTTTATTTATACTTTTTTTTTTTATCTGTTTTTCCCTCTAGAATGTAACCTTCATGTACAAAAGATTTGGTTTTGTTCACCTCTGCATTCCCAAGGCCTGGCAGACAGTACTAAATAGTGGGGAATCAGGATAACACATATGCGGCACTTATATTGAGGAAAATTCAATAACATAGGACAATCTGCCTCGGAAGCTAGACTACATTCAAGATCTTGGAAGAGAATCCCTTTTTTTTTTTTTTTTTTTGAGACAGAGTCTTGCTTGTTGACCAGGCTAGAGTGAGTGCTGTGGTGTCAGCCTAGCTCACAGCAACCTCAAACTCCTGGCTCAAGCAATCCTCCTGCTCAGCCTCCGAGTAGCTGGGACTACAGGCATGCGCCACCTACCCGGCTAATTTTATATATATTTATTGCTAATTAATTTCTTTCTATTTATAGTAGAGACGGGTTTGCTCTTGCTCAGGCTGGTTTCGAACTCCTGACCTCGAGCAATCCGCCCCTCCAGCCTCCAGAGTGCTAGGGTTACAGGCGTGAGCCACCGCGCCGGTTGAGAATCCACTTTTGAACATTTTCAATTCAACCTACAAGTAGCTGATGACTTGCAACTACGGACACAGCCACCTCCTCCAGGAAGTTTCCTGTAATGCTTTCTGGGAAGGCTGCAGGCAAACCGAGGGAGTGACATCTCCCATGGCCTGAAGGTAGAGTAAATAATTCAACTCAGTTGGAGTAAGGAGGACAGTGTCACATATAGTTCTTATGTCACCAGCCACTTAATTTTCAGAACTCCAGAATTTTATAACTTTTGCCATCCTGAATGATAAATAGCCAGGAAACACATTTTTAGAAAAAATTAAAGCAACAATAAAACGAACCAAAACCAAATCAAAGAGAAATATAAAATATGAAAAACAACATTATATGGAAAACAAGAATATTGCTATTGTCCATAAAAAGGAACATATATTGACACACTTGAACGGACCTGAAGTGATGCTGAATGAATAAAGTCGATTGTAAAATGATACACAATGTATGATTTCATTTCTATAATATTCCTGAAATGCTAAAAAAATATAGATGGAGAAGAGATTGTGGTTACCGGGAATTATGGGGAGGTGATATGACTATAAAAAGGTAGCACAAGGGACATATTTATGGTGATGGGAATTCTGCACCGATTTCAGTGGTAGTCATGAAAATCCACACATATCATAAATTGACACAGAACTATATACACACATTGTCCTAATTTCAATTTCTTGGTTTTGACATTATAATTATATAAAATGTGAGCACTGGAAGAAACTGGATAATGGGTACATGAGACTTCTCTGTATTATTTTTGCAACTTCCTATGAATTCATAGTTATTGCAAGATTTAAAAGTAAATAAACAAAACCAGAGAGAAACCCTAACATTATTAATACAGTATGAGACCAAGGACATTTATATAGCCCATTACATTCTAAAGTCACATTCTGTCTCTCGAAGTTCACTCCTTTGTAACAGTAAACTATATTCTTTCAAATACTACAGTCTAGTTTCCTAGTTTATTCTTCTGCCTTTCTCCCACCAGGAGGGTCTGCTAACCTCTCCAGGAAATTTCTATAAAAGGTAGCAATTCTGACAACTTTTAAAGCTCTAGTAAAAGAAGATCTAGTTGTATTAACATTTTAATTAAGGTGATAAGAGAATTGTAATAAGACGAGAGGCTTAGTTCTGCTGGTTAAACCCACTCTTGCAGAGGTATTTATGGTGGATCAAAAATGGAATTCTTTCCAAATTCTATTAATTCAAAACTGAATTAGGATTTGAAATAAAGGATATTCAACTGAAATTTTAATTTTCTGCCTTGAATTTAAAAAGTTAGATCTCTAGTAGCTTTGCAGCTCTAGAATCTTAACAAGGTTGCATATTTAGCAAGGAAGGCCTATTAAGAGCTATCGATTTTGTACCAAACAGGAATCTTTGTGTAGTGTTTATATGTAAGCAGGCACTACAGCAGAAACAATCAACTTTGATTCAATGCACAAATATTAAGATCCAGATATATCTGAAGGTACTGATTAAATGCCACTAGGATACAGAATTTGACTTATCAAACAAAGAGGATTACTAACTTTAAGGATTCTATAATCTATTATAAGGCAGAAATTTCAATTACTGGTAAATTAGAGTTTTAAGGTTCCCTCAGAACACAGAGATGTCAAGATTAATATCACACGGAGAAACTAGATGATAACATTGACCAAGCTCTCTATGGCAGCACACAGAACACAGAGATGTCAAGATTAATATCACATGGAGAGACTAGACGATAACATTGACCAACTCTATATGGCAGCAGGGTGTGTGTGTGACAATTTGAACATTGTCTGTGGACTAGGAGAGTGGATAAGAGTATTCCAGGGAACAGCATGGGGGGAAAGGCTCAGAGGTAGACCAGTGTAGATAGGTTGGAATAACTCTGGGCTATCCATTTTGGGTGAAGCATATGGCAAGAGAGAGGAAAGAATAAAAGACGGTGTTTCAGGTCAGGTGGTGTAGGACCATCAATGCCATCATGAATCATCTACTACTATTATGGTAGTCATGAAAACCACTGATGTGGTCCTGGTGAGATAACCAAAGAAATTTGTGATTAATATGGGGTCCTCCTGTGCTTCCATGCTGCTCTTTTTTATTAAAAGTACACATCTTAAAGTATGTTGTATAGAATTTCCCTCTATATGAATTTCAAGAAATGATTTGAATAATTTTTATAAACATCCACCTAAAGCTACCAATCATTAAGAAAGTCCTTAAGGCCAATCAGTTTCATTGCTAGGGAGGTCATGATTCCAATTGTTCTGTGTTTTGCTTGCAACATCTCAGTTTCAACAGGAACTCCTAGTCTCTTGATTGCTTATTTTGCTTTGGTTCTTGGGATCCCACTTGCCCTGAATATTAACGAGATTGTATTCATCACCTATGCTAAACCTGTTCATGCTGAATAAACATTTATCTTATTCACTCTGGCCTCCAAGACCCAACAACCTGGTTCCATTACTGATGGTGTAAATATTGGGAAAAATATCATTTAGAAACAGATATAAAAGAACATATATAAGCTTGGATAAACAGATGTATGACAGTCTAATGGTTAGCCAATTTCTGAGTTTTACAGCATAAATATTTATTTATTTATTTTTCCCCAGGAAATAGATTATCCTCTTCAAGACTGAAAAATACATGAAGATTTCAGATTACTGATTATGTAAAATCCATATATAAATCAATATAGTATGAAGTGTTTGGCAAAATTTTTTCTTCTGATTTTTTTAAAATTTAATTTAATCTTTAAAATTTTATTTATTTATTTAATTTCAGAATACTCTAGGAGTACAAACAGTTTAGTTATGTGTAATGCCTTTGCCTCACCCAAGCCAGGGCTAGAGCATGCCCTTCTCCTATATAGTCTGCTCCGTCTCCATTAGCTGTGAGTTTATCCCAACCCCCACCTGACCTAGTGAATACTAATACCATGTGAGCACCTTAGTGCTGATCAGTTAGTATCAATTTGATGGCAAGTACATGTGGTGCTTGTTTTTCCATTGTGTGATACCCCCATGTAAGCGTTTCCATATGTAACTCCTTTACAGCTAATATTTACTCTCTTCCTACAACATAACTTATTGTTTCTTATTTGTGTTTGAAAGGAAACTCTACATACTGCTTCAATTCTCAGACTTAAGCATACATATAGGCAACCCACTTTCTAGCTGCTTTCTGTAAGTGAATATTAGTAGATGCCTCCAGGAAGGCAAGTTCCTCCTCTTATGAAACTAAGAGTTCAGGGAAGAGTTTGGTAAGATAAACACAAGTAAGTGGTTGTCAGAGGCTTTGAGAAATATTCAGCTGGAGAGGTCATGGGTAGGGAGACAGAGGAGTTTCCTGGGTGAGTTGATCCAGGTGAGATGATGGCAAGTGGAAGCAGGGTGGAGCTGAGGAGCAAGTGAGGAGGGCTCACATGTGAGATGTATTTTGATGATGGAAGCACCCATCCACTAGGAGAAGGCAGCCTAGGGCATGTCATGTTTGTGATGTTTGTTGGACATCATTCATGGCTGAGACTAATTCTAACATACGTACCAGTGAATCAAAGGATGGACTCAAGCTCTATCCAGGATAACATAAGAGGTGCTAGATCACAATTGTTTTTTGTAGTTAAGTAGTATTCCATGGTATACATATAACACATTTTATTAATCCACTCATGTATTGATGGGCACTTGGGTTGTTTCCACATCTTTGTGATTATGAACTGTGCTGCCATAAACATTTGAGTGCAGATGTCTTTAATATAGAATGCCTTTTTTCCTTTGGGTAAGTGCCCAGTAGTGGGATTGCTGGATCAAATGATATTTCTATTTTTAGCTCTTTGAGGTATCTCCAAATTATTTTCCACAGGGGTTGTACTAATTTGCAGTCCCACCAGCAGTTCCTGTCTTTCCACATCCATGTCAGCATTTGTTGTTTTGGGACTTTTTGATAAGGGCCATTCTCACTTGAGTTAGGTGATATCTCATTGTTGTTTTGATTTGCATTTCCCTAATGATTAGAGACGTTGAGAACTTTTTTGTATATTTGCTGGCCATTATTCTGTCTTCTTTTGAAAAATTTCTGTTCAAGTCCCTTGCCCATTTATTGATAGGGTAGTTTGATTTTTTTCTTGTTGATTTTCTTAATTTCTATATAGATTCTTGCTATCAGCTCTTTATTGGATGTGTAGAAAGCAAATATTTTTTCCCATTCTATAGGTTGTCTATTTACTCTAATGATAGTTTCTTTGGCTATGCAAAAGCTTTTTAATTTGATCAGGTCCCATTTATTTATTTTTGTTGCTGTTGTGATTGCTTTGAGGATCTTCTTTATAAATTCTTTGCCTAGGCCAATGTCTGTAAGAGTTTTCCAAACACTTTCTTCTAGAATTCTTAAGGTTTCACACCTTAGGTTTAAATCTGTTATCCATTGTGAGTTGCCTTTTGTGAGAGTTGAGGGGTGAAAGGTGGAGATCCAGTTTCAATCTTCTGCATGTGTTTATCCAGTTTTTCCAGCACCATTTATTGAATAGAGATTCTTTTCTCCGTAACCAGTAGATGAAGACCTATGGAAAGATCTAGGAGCCTTACTGATAGCTCTTCAAGCTGACTGCCACAGACTTTCAGTTGGGACAATCAATTCCTGGTGGGGCACTTAGCAAACCCACCTGCCACACACACACCCCACATAGAGATTTCACTGTCAGCATCTCCTCCATATACATCTTATGATGCAATGTCAAGTCTCCAGTAAGTTAAAAATACTTCTACACCAACAGGCTAAGAAGCTAATATACTTATTACAAGTAAAACATGAAAACTCTATCATAAGGATATAGTATTAATAAAGATGAAAAAAGTAGTATAATGGAAAGAGCTTTGGAGTGGGACAATTCTGGGTTCCAATCTTGAATCTGATGTTTGCTTGCATCAGGACACTGGAATATTATCTTTCTGAATCTCCATTTCCTCATTACTGAAATGGAGACAGTGTCAGTTACCTCCCAAAGTTGTGAGGGTTAAGTGAGGTAACATGTAGAAAAGGCCTAGTTCAGTGCCTGGCTCTAGTGGCTCTCAATCAATCACAGTTTTATACTAGTTGCTGAAAATAATATTAGTGCCCTGGAAAACGGTTAAAAATATATTGAAAGTAAACTTTGTCTATTATTCTAGTTAGAGAATGTTGAGAAGTCCTCAAACTGAAAAATGTTCAATTACTGCTTTTTCAGCAAAACATTATTCAGAAAATAAATTCTCTTTTCAGTTGAACAGTACTGGGGAACTAAGAACTACAATCCCTCTTCATTGCCCGTATTTATCACAGTCCAGTGGGTACTCAGTCAAATACATCAGAGGCAAGCCTATCAACAAGGTTGTAAAATTTAGGCACACCCTAAAATTTCAATACTGTTTGATACAGCCTTTATAAGAAAGAATCTGATTTAGGTTCTAGTTCTTATTTTAAGTTTGCCTCATCACATGTCTTTTGAGAATTCACTTCACAATTCTTTTTAATTCACAAAACAATATTCATTCACATGTACTCCATCACCTACAGAAGAGATGAGGCAGTACCTTTGCTTACAGCTGTGCTTTGCACAACTCCAAAAGGTGCCAATCATTGCTTAGTCTTTCCAGATTTGCATGTCACTAAGATAGTTTCCCAGAAGATGACTATAAGCATAAGCACATGGAAGAAGATGCTAATGTATGTGCCAGTGATAACAGCTGGTGGACAGGTTTTAGAAAACACAGGTAAAGTGTCAACAAAGACTACAACAGTGGCCATCCTGGCTCCATACATCAGCTTGGCCAAGTTCACATCTTGGAGTCCCAGTTCTTTTGAGTGTGAAGTAAAGGAGTTGAAGGCATATGATTTTTTTGAGATTTCTATAGCACAACTGAAGCACACTCTGGACTCTTCTCCCTCCTCCCCAGGAAATCTTTAAGGACTAGACACACAGCATTAGTTGATGATCATTAAAAATACATCTACCAGGCTGGGTGCAGTGGCTCATGCCTGTAATCCTAGCACTCTGGGAGGCTGAGGCACACGGATCACTCAAGGTCAGGAGTTTAGCAAAAGTGAGAACCTCATCTTTACTAAAAATAGAAAGCAATTAATTGGCCAACTAAAAAAATATATAAAAAATTAGCCGGGCATGTTGGCACATGCCTATAGTCCCAGCTACTTGGGAGGCTGAGGCAGAAGGATGGCTTGAGCCCAGGAGTTTGAGGTTGCTGTGAGCTAGGCTAATGCCACGGCACTCTAGCCCGGGGAACAGAGTGAGACTCTGTCTCAAAAAAAAAAAAAAAAATCTACCCAGAGAGATAGAAAAGTTGTAAGGAAACACACAAAAATATTAATATCAGTGAACTTGGGATAGTTTGGGACTATGGATGAATTTCTTTACATTCTTTTTACTTCTTATATTAGCATTAATTACTGTTATAAATACTTGCATAATAGAAAAATCATTAACTTAAAAAAACTATTGATAAAATAAAAAATCACAGAGAGATACCAAATTGTCTGAAATAATTTAAAACTTTCATCTACAAACAATTTCTGGTTCAGTCTAGTGTTTCGAGGATTCAGTGGATATATTTCTTAAAGACTTATGTCCTGTTTCCTTTTCAAAATATAGTCAGTCTTACTCCAAGGGTTTTACAAGCTTTATATGATGGAAACATTTGTGTGTTAAAATTCAAAAAGGTGTTGCTTGATGACATCTGATATGCCACACATTAATCTAAGTCTTGATAAGTGAATGCAAATTTGATTTCTTTCCAAACCTAACATTTGGAAATGTATATCATTTCTTTTTTGGAACATAGGACCATTTAGAATATAAATTCCTATATTGAAAAGAAGCTTACCTGGTTGAAACACATTTTCAGCTTTTTGTTTGTCAGCTCTGGGCATTGCTCCAGCTGTTTTCATAAATGATAATAGAACAGGATATTAACTTTTAGAGAATGAGCTGTCTACAACAGAGTTATATCATGTAAGCATCTAGTATAAAAAAGCATCAAAGCCTAGAACTGGCTAACATTGGTACTGTGGGGCTTTTAAGCTTGGGTCTAATTAAATTAATTAACTAAATTATACCTCCCTTCATTCCAAAATAAAAGGATTAAGGCAGTTTTACATAAATAAATACTGCATTGTTAAAAAAATTGCAGATAAAAAAAGCAAGGTGAAGGAAAATTAAATGATAACATAGTAAATATTCAAGGGAGATAGCAAGAAGGCAGCTGGAGTATGGATTTCTTGGAAGGGTGTGCCACAGAGGGGAAGTCTGGCATGTGGGGTCGTATTTAAAGTCAGAGATGAGATGAAGTCACCTAGAAGCAGCATGTAATGGAGAGAAGAAAGTGGTCCAGGAAGGAGCCCTCAGACATGCCAACATTCAGAAACCAAGTAGAATAGGTGATGTTGTGAAGAAGATGGGAGGAAGGGAAGTGAGAAATGGAAAATGTGTTGTCATGGAAGCTACACAAAGGAAGGGCATCAGAAGGAGAATGTGGTGCCTCAGACACGTCAGGTCTGGGAAGAAGTGACTACTGCATTTGTCAGTGCAGAGGTCACTGGTGGCCCTGATGACAACAGTCTCAGTTGAGCATAGTAGTCAGAAGCCCTGTAGGAAAGAATGAGGTGAAACTAGAAGGCAAAGAAGCAGAAACAATAAATGCAGACTAGAAAATTAGGGATTTCAATTAGATGGAGGCATATGGCACCTTTGTAATATTAATAATTCCCGTTCTTTTCATTGACAGCCTTTCCATGTGCATCCATCATTTCCACAAACAACCCTGAGCCAGGAGGTGGAGAAGGGGACCTCCCACCCTTCCACACCGGGCAGGCAGCTCTTCCCCTCCACTTCTGCAAGAAGCTCTGCTTGGCCTCAGGTCTGCATGCCTCACTCAGTTTCACCAGAGCCCTGTAGGGATCAAGCCACTTGGGCACTTGCTCCTGTTACTTAAGCATGGCCTATGGACCTCAGGCTCACCCTCTGCACCCCAGGTAGCAGATCACAGCTTTCCTTCCAATCATATTGGGTACTGTCCTTGAGAGCAGATTTGGTGAATACAATTTTCTTCATCTATCCCAGTGCTGTTTTAGTGATTCTAGTAAGACTAGTGCTTTGGGCACCTAATGTGGCTGACCTACCCAAGCCTCAGCTCAGCTCATCACAGGTGGCTGATGAAGTGTATCTAGGGAATAGAAACTCTATTTTTGGTGAGGGAATGGGAGGTCAGGAACTGTATCATACTGCTCTTCATATCTGCAACTGTCTGTCTCAGTCTGTAAGGTTTTTTCCACCTTATTTATCTCATGGCCAGAACGATTTCAAATGCAGCTTTAATCCTGAATCACTCATTTGGTATGAAGATCTCCATCTTCATTTACCTAAACCATGAGTCCTATTACTGGTAACATTTTATATTTTTCTTTACTGAAGATTAAATTCAGGCTATTCTATCATTCTTTCAGAGTTCAAAAGAAACAGCTCACCTCAGAACTTGCTACAAGTTCTTCCACAGATGTGTAGTCAAATTCGGATGGTAGCTGATACTCAGGAAAAAAATACAGAAGAATCTCCCTAGGAATAAAAGCATCGCAGAAATGGGAATATACCAGGACAGCAGAGGTAGCACTCACCTGTCAGAACTAGGCTCATCCCCTAGGTATTAAACATCTTGACAAAGATATTAGTTCTCCCAAAATATTTTGTTTTACTATGGGCAACAAACTGTTCTTCAGAGAGCACAGACTGGGGAGACTGGGTATGGCTATAAAAGGGCAAAAGAAGGGACCCCTGTAGTGACAGAACTGTTCTGTATCTTGGCTGCATCAGTATTAATATCCTGATTGTGATATACTGTTCTATAGTTTTATAAGGTGTTAAAATTCGGAGAAACTGGGTAAAGGATACAGGGATCTCTCTGTATTATTTTGTACAACTCAATGTGAATATACATTTATCTCAAAATAAAAAGTTTATTGAAAGAAAAAAAGTGCACGAAAGAAACCAAACAACTAACAAAGCTCATGGTGCCTAGCAATTCATAACCAACCAGTCCTAAAAAGCCCTGCACCTGCTTGAGTGTTCTCTTCTCCAGAGATCTCAGCATTGCAAACTTTCTGGGAGAAAACAGGCTGACGACAAACTTGCTTATTTCCTAAGAAAACCAAGAGTTTAGGTCTCCAGGGTATTTTTTTGTCAGGGACTCCAGGACTCTTAGAAATCATACATGGACTCTGCCCTTTCCAAACAGCAGTGGTCATTGTTCTGACAGGTGCTTCATTTTGCCAAAAGGCAGTAGCACCCATCTTTTCTATTGTGACAGCTTTTCTAGGATTAATCACCTATATGACACATATTTCATTCCTGGGAAAATATGAAATCTAAAAATTTATAGTCACCACATCTTACAAGTATATTGTGTTTTTATGTTGAAGTGTTCCAAGAGCCTAATGTATATTATCTGAAGAACTTACAAAATTTTTTCAGTTGTAAACAAAATGTGGTATATCAAAAACAAAACAGCTCTTTCTTATACAATTTAAATTTCTAGTATTTTCTGTATATTATTTGCATTAATATTCAGGTATAGTTACAAGGAGAATCAAATCAAAGAATTAAAAATTTTCAGCATTGCCCAAACATTAAATACAACATACGCACCCCCCTAAGAATTATTTCCCTGGCTAGTAAGAAGATGAATGAGGTGGAAATGGGACTCTTGTCCCACCTATGTACAACTCTTCCCTTGAAGTATTTACTCAAATGCTTCAAATTATCCCAGAATAGACAATAAAAGCAGGAATTTGTCTTTGTTTCATATTGGCACTCTTCTCAAGAATTTAAGAAATCAATATTTTAAACATCTCTTTCAAAGTTACTTGCATCCAGGATCTTCTCTATGATGCCCATCTCAGCTGAATTTCTGTAGAATCCATATCCACATCTGTAAGTCTGAATTGGAAGTTTTTAGAGAAGTCAACTAGGTGAGCTAAAACACTGTATCAGCACTTTCTTTATAAATTATGGCCAAGCTTTGAAAAGTTCCAGCTAATGGCCATTTCCCTTTGACTCCATAGTTATATCCTTTTCTCAACAAAGTCATTTTTCATGAAGAAAAGTCTCTGTTTGCACTAACACAACTTCACTCTTTCTAGATATGGTAGACATAGGCAGGGGTCTATGCAGGTACCTGGTTATTCACTTGTTCTTTTAAACAATAACCCAGTTAATTAGCCTAATCCTGGCTAAGGAGAAGAAAAGCCTCCTACTGGAGGTTGAAAAAACTCTCTTCTTCAACACAGTGAAAAATTAGGATAAGATGGAAATGGCGTGGCTCCACTTTCTAAAACTAGAAATCCAAGAATGGTTTTTGGCAGACCTCGATTGCTAGTGTATGTATTTTAGTGGCCTTTTCTTTTGCTTTAGCAACCGGCAGAAACCTTAAAGAGCAATTTTTAAAAGCTTAGTGTTATTTTTAAATATTGAAAATAACACAAAGCATGCTTGTGCTTTTATAGAGTTGAAATAAATGAAATCTGCCTTATCCAGTTTACATACACAACAATAAACTGAAACAAGGCATTATATAGTTCAACAGTTAAAAGCAAGGACTGTAAGGCCAGACTGCCAAGATTCAAATCCAAGCTCTACCACTTAAGAGTTATATAATGCTGGGAAAATTATTACTTAGACTCTACATACTTCATCTGTAAAATGGAAATAATAAAAGGATCTATTTATAGGATTGCTGTAAGGTTTGAATGAGTTAACATATGTAAAACCTTAGGACAGTGTCTGGCACTTAGTTAACTATATAACAAATATGTATTATTAATACTATTGCTATTATTATTACTGAAAGTGATTCAAAATTTGATACTATTCCAATATTTAGGGCCATTTGATAAAATTTAATAGTATGGATCCCAGTTCAGCTTATTGACCACTGACTTTAACACAACTTAGTCATACCTCAATATTTGAAAATATTTTTACACCCAGCAATACCATTCACTGCTTTTTACATTAATCTCTTTCAATTTAAAGTATTTAAAAAACATATATACTTATACACATTAGACATGGTATGGAAAATCCAATCTGTTTTCAAAGAAGTTATGTTAATTAGGGATTAAATAAACTAATACACATAAAACAAGAAATAATATAACTCAGGAAAATGCTAAGCTGAACATAATCAGGTAATAAAAATGGGCAATAAAAACTACATTTTTAATTAATTGACTCAGCATTAGTTAACGAGAGGTAGCCTGACCCTACTTTGACATTGTGGGAAGAGGTAAAGACAGTGTCATGTTCAAGGTGAACCAAGTGGGGACAACACTTTACACACTTAAAAGACCTCTCACTATTCTCTTTACCATGTGACAGGCAGGGTAAATATGGTGCATGATTCTGGATATAAAACCACAATGCCCTTCACATCATACACAGTCAGCCACAATCTTCATTCTTGAGGAATTTAAGGTCTAGTTAATTCAAGGAATAACACGTGGATCAGATATAAAATAGCAAATAACATAGTACAAAAAACCAAAAACAAATACCTAACAAAGAAAACAAGAAATCTGTTTTCACTGGTGCAATGTGAGAAAACATACTACATGTTGCTGAAGGCAAAAAAGAAAATTGGTAAGATGAGGAGCTCATTTTGTTTCTGCTAAAGCCTTGTGTTCTGTTTTTTCCTGCAGAATATTTTTTATAAAATAATCACCACCACAGAAAACATAATCTGGTACAGAATAGAACAGATACAGTAACAGTATGATGACTCTAAGCTTTAAATAAAGAGTCTACGTGTTCACTAGGGAGCTGGTTTCTGGGAAACTTTAATTTTCTATCGATGCCTAATGACATTAAGTGGATACACTCTAAAGTCTTCATACTCTCAATCAGATTTTCCCCTCTTCCATCACATATAACCCATTAAAATGAATAGAAATGTTACACTTACATGAAGAACAAATGTTAGCCAAGTAAACATAAGGAAAATGATGAATTTGAAAAAGAATGCCTATCTAACTAGAAAAGAAATGTAAATAGCTATGCATCCAAACTCCACTGCCACACACTGAGACAGGTTTCTCCAGGTCTCTTAGTGCGGAGAGAGGGAAACACATAAACTGTATATGGTTAACAGTATGGGATTCCAAATCAGGGAGCCTGGGCTTAAGCCCCAGCCCTGTCCTCAGGCGTCATATAATTATCCATTTGACTTTAAATGTGTTACTGAGTTTCTCTAAGTTTCAGTTTCCTCATCTGTTAAAAAATATTAGAAAATACCAACCTTGTAAGTTTGTAAGAATAAGGAATTTATAAAAAATATTTGGGTGAATACCTGAAGTATAATAAAGGCTCAAAAATGATTGTTATCGAGAAGGCCTGATTCACCTGTAGCAATGTCCCCAATTATTGGATATGTCATCATATTTTAATGATATTCACATATTTACTCAAATGCATATAAGCACACACATATATAATTTACTACATACTGCCATGCCTTACTGATCAACTAATAGGCCTGAATCTTGGAACCAGTAACATACCAGTATTCAAATTTATGGCTACCCAATTTCAAAGCTGAGGACCTTAAATACTACTTCTGGAAAAATACTGACAGAAGGTTAAGAAACTAGTTGGAAAATCCCCAATTTGTTAGGAATTATACTGTAGACCACAGCAGTATGATACTGACACATCCATCCAGGTCATCAATCAGACAAGTGGCCTTTTTCAGCCTCCTCATGCCTGTGCAAACCGGAGGTCTGGCCCATTTCTGTTGCATTTCCAGGCTAGTGTGAGCTTGCCAACCCAAGCACTATGGCAGATTTGGTGGCCAGAACTTCATGTTCAGGAATGTGGCATCTGGCTTCATTGCTCTGTCAACAACTTATCTCTGGATCCCTAGTGTCATTAATAAAAATGGGTCCCTATGTAAAGACCTACATATAACCAAGAGTGCTTCCTCTCTCCTGGAGCAGGACTGGTGTTAGGCCTGAGTCCCATAGGGTAGCAGAAAGGGTCCTTATGTCCATGTAATAGTCACAGCCCTGCAGCCCTGGATGCTGCATCAAGCCCACGGCAGCTGCAGAACTGCGCTCATGCCTCCAGGTCTTAGCAGTCTCCTCTCACAAATAGGACCACAGCTTGGGCCTTATTGGAAACTGTACCCCCCTATATACATGCTCTACCTCTACCTTTCTCTTTCTTCCTACCTGCTTCTACTCTTTGAGAAGTCTTATTTTCAATGAGATTCTATACTCACTGATGAGAACATCAAGGTAATCGTCCTAAGAAAAAATATCATTCTATCTAGGGCATGTTGTGTTCTCCTCTGCCAAGAGCCTCTTGCCCACAAAGGCCTCTCAAAATCCAACAAGAGTCTGTGAACCCCAACAAAACCAATAAAGTACACTAATTTAGTGGTGCTCTTTGGGCTGCCCTCTCGTATGACACCTATTTGAGAGCACTCTTTTGTTCACAGACTTCTCCGATTTGATTGGAAAGCCCCCTCCTATCATCAGTCCCTATTTGGAAAGAGCCTACATCCTGGACTTTATCCCCTCCCTGTCTCTATCCTTTGAGAACTGAGACTCAGACATCTAAATTCCTCAAATAACCATGAGCACAAATGTTAACATTCCACATCGAAGAAAAAAGTAAAACTCAGCTTCCTTAATAAGTTCAATATCTAAAACTAAAAAAACAGACTCTGTAAAAGGCCATACAAATGTCATGAGTGTCTTTGTGGGGAAAATAGAGCAACGGGGAAAATTCAGTAGGAATTCTTTATTACTTTCAAGAGAGGACTTACATGCACCATTTTGCTGGACCACATAACAACAGGCAGTTAGTGACTGGGGTTCTATTTCAAGGGACATTTAACCAGTAGTATATCTAAATCAGCATTGTTAGGAGTCATAAAATCATCCTACTGAATTTAGTCAATAATGTTACTACTCAGTAGGAAAACAAAACAAAGCAAGAGTTGTCATGGTAAAATCCCATCAGCATTCTTCACAGATACAGAAAAAATAATTTTACGCTTCATATGGAACCAAAGAAGACCCCGAATATCAAAAGCAATTCTAGGTAACAAAAACAAAATAGGAGGTATTAATATGCCAGACATCAAACTATACTACAAAGCTGTAGTAATTAAATAAATCTGGTATTGGCACAAAAATAGGAATATTGACCAGTGGAACAGATGTGAGAATCCTGATATAAAACCATCCTCATATAATCCATCTAATCTTTGACAAAGCAGACAAAAACATACGCTGGGGAAAAGAATCCCTTTTCAATAAATGGTGCTGGGAAAACTGGATAGCCACTTGTAGAAGGCTAAAGCAGGACCCACACCTCTCACCTCTCACAAAAATCAACTCACGCTGGATAACAGACTTACACCTAAGGTATGAAACTATTAGAATTCTAGAGGAAAATGTTGGAAACACTCCCTAACATCGCAAGAGTTTATAAGAAGTCCCAAAGGCAACCACAGCAGCAACAAAAATAAATAAATGGGACATGATCAAACTAAAAAGCTTCTGCACAGCCAAAGAAACAGTCATGAAAGTAAACAGACAACCTACAGAATGGGAGAAAATTTTTGCATTCCTACCATCGATAAGGGGCTGATAACGAATATACTTAGAACTCATGAAAATCAGCAAGAAAAAATCAAATACCCTATTAAAAGTGGCAAAGGACTTGAACAGAACTTTTAAAGAAGACAGAAGAATGGCCAACAAACATATGAAAAAATGCTCAACTCTCTAATCATCAGGGAAATGCAAATCAAAACTACAATGAGATACACTTAACTCCAGTGAGAATGGCCTTTATCAAAAGTCTCCAAACAATAAATGCTGGCATGGATGCGGAGAGAGAGGAAACTCCTACACTGCTGGTGGGACTGCAAACTAGTTCAACCTTGTGAAAGCAATATGGAGATACCTTAAAGCGATACAAGTGATCTAAATTTGATCAAGCAATCCATTGCTGGCATTACCAAATGATCCAATGACACTCTACAAATAAGAACCGCATCGAATGTTTATAGCAGCACAATTCATAATTGCAAGGCTGTGGAAACAGCCCAAGTGCCCATCAATCCAAGAATGGATTAATAAAATGTGGTATATGTATACCATGGAGTACTATTCAGCTCTAAGAAACAATGTGATGGCCGGGCGCGGTGGCTCACGCCTGTAACTAGCACTCTGGGAGCCGAGCGGGCGGATTGCTCAAGGTCAGGAGTTCAAACCAGCCTGAAGAGACCGTCTCTACATAAAAATAGAAAGAATTAATTGGCAACTAAATATATATAATATAAATCAGCGGCATGTGGCTCGTGCTGTAGTCCCAGCTACTCGGGAGGCTGAGGCAGGAGAACCAGGAGTCTGAGGTTGCTGTGAGCTAGGATGACGCCACGGCATCACTCAGCCTGGGCAAGAAAGCGAGACTCTGTCTCAAAAAAAAAAAAAAAAAGAAACAATGGTGATATACACATCTTATATTTCCTGGTTAGAGCTGGAACCCATATACTAAGTGAAGTATCCCAAGAATGGAAACAAGCACCACATATACTCACCAGCAAACTGGTATTAACTGAGCAGCACCTAAGTGGACACATAGTACTACAGTAATAGGGTATTGGCAGGTGGGAGGGGGGCGGGTATATACATACATAATGAGTGAGATGTGCACCATCTGGGGGATGGTCACGCTGGAAACTCAGACTTGTTGGGGAAGGGGGGGAAAGGGCATTTATTGAAACCTTAAAATTTGTACCCCCATAATATGCCAAAATAAAAAATAAGAAAGTTCAACAAAGCATATGGAAATATGTGAGTAAATATCTTTACCTTAAATTGGACATCAGTTTTCTTGCTGTTTCCTTGACAGATGTGCTTTGAAAAGATGACAGGGAAGAAGCAACTTTACAACTACCAGTCACAAAAACTCTGTCTTTGTGTCCAGAACTTAGATTTATATCCTCCATTGGCACACTGGTTTATGATTTCAAAGTAGGAATCACATTAGATATTAATAATTTCAGAAACATTAGTATACAAGTTAGATTTTAATACATAACAAATGAAAGCAAGAACATATATATAATGCTGAAAACTGGCTCCTCTGTAGTTATATAAAATTGATTTTTAATTAGAAGACTTTTTATTTATTCTTGTTGTATATTGTTCAAGGTTTTTGGGTAGCCTCAATAGAACTGGTGATAATTTATTCTTAACAACAGTAGTCATATACTACTTGTCCCTTAGAAAGAGGATTTTAAACTTGTTATAACTATGAGATTTTTAAAATAAGCTTCATGATAACCAAAGCAGAAACCTATAACAGATCCATTAAAATTAAAAAGTAACGAATTAAAACATACTACCTGAGAAAAACACTTAACCACAAATGAATGAGACATTTAAAGTTCTATTTTAGCCTGAAAGAAATGCACAGAAATAAAAAAAGGAACATTAAGAGACATATTCAGTTGTGATCTGGAGAAACAAGAGTGTTCCAAGTGAAGTGCAATAATCCTGGGGTAGAAAGAGCAAGGACTACTCCAATAAGAATGAGAAAGAGCTGCTGTGGTGGAGTGAGCAGGAAGCTGAGGGACAGAGTTAAGGGGAAGAGAGGCCAGCGCTGGGGATCGCAAGGCACTGTGGGCATGGGAGGGACCGGGAATTTCTCTAAGCAGAGTGGACACCACCACTGGAGGGTTTCAGGCATGGGAGCAAGAGGACCTGACACAAGTTTTAAAAGAATACCTGACACATCCATCCAGATCATCAGACAAGCGGCCTTGCAGCCTCTGGCTGCAGCACAGAGAATAACTCACAGCGAGGATGCATAAAATAGTGTAGTATGTTAATGAGACTAAAACTTCCAGTATTGTAGGAACAAAAAAGTGTAAGAGCACTGGGGGTGGTACAACATGGGAGATGAAGCTGGGTAGGTAGGTAGGGTCAGATCCCACAGGGTTTTGTTTGTCAAGTAATAAGGATATAAGGATATTTTTGTAATCCTTTCATGCTGACATCCTTAAATTAAGATCACAGCTCTAGAGAGTTTTATATGTTTATGCTCTGAGAGCCTTTCAAAAATTGAATAATAGTTCGTATCAAATGAAATGTGCTTCTACTGTCAACAGTTCTTTGGCATTAATTATACTGTCTAACAACAGCTGTTTTTTTTTTTTAGGATTAAGAACATTATATAAACTAATGCCTAATTGTTTGTTAAAGAATACTTAACACAATGTCTGAATGCTTATTAGTTATGACCTCCTTTATGCTGAAATTTTATTAAGGAAGTCTTTTTTTTTTTTTTAACTATTTTAGCGATGCTGGAAATTCATGCTGGCATTGGGGGTGAAGGGTAACATGCACCACACCAGAGCACAGGAGGTTTCTCTCTGAACTGTTGTTTCCTCTTCTGCCAAATGATAATAAAGCCTACCTCAGAGTTGTGCTGACGATAAAAAGAGATATACAAAGAATTTAGCTCAATGTTTAGCACTAGTAAGTGCTCAACAAACAGTATCTAAATATTATTATTATGACCATCTTTATCAACACTACCATTAGTAAAGTGTTTGATGAGGTTCTCCATTAAGACTGTTTTAGATGGACTGTAGTTCTAATATTCATGTTGTAGTTATGAGCCAACAGTGATTAAAAACACACACACAGACACAAATGTGTTTAGTTTTTGGATGACTCTTAAATTTTAACTTGAATTTTAATAAACAATTCTATGTTAAAACACTGCCCATAGGAAGGCCTAGCAACAGCACTGGGGGAAAATCATATCATTTATTCAATCAATAAATATTGCTGAGTGCCAACCACGAGTCAGGTGCCACTTTGGGTACTAGGGGCACAGGAGTGAGCAAGACAGTCCCTGTTCTCATGGAGTGATATCTTCTAGTGCAAAATAGATAAAACAAGCAAGCTAGAATGAAAACTGGCAAAAGAAATAGATGAGTAAATAAGATACCTTAAAATAGTAATAAGTGCTTTGAAAAAACTGAAGCAGGATGATAAGATCGTGACTTATCAGAAGTAGGGTGGGCTATTTTAGATAGAGTCATCAGGGAAGACCTCTCAGAGGCTTAGAGTTATGAAGAAGACAAGACATGGCCCTGTCTTTAAGGATCTGGTATGCAACAGGAAGACATATTCAAATACACAATTCCACTTGACTCTGGGTTGTTGTTCACCATTGTGCGTCAGAACATAGTTGATATTTAACAAATAATTATTTAAGTTGAACAAATTACAACACGATCTGATCACTGCAACAGTGGCTCTGTGAAACCTGAGTTTACCTGGGAGGGTTAGGAAGACCCCAAAGAAGGGACTTTTTTAAATTGGGATTTGAACAAAAGGGTAATCAAGGTCAATCAACTTATGATACAAGTTGCAGAGGGCATTCAAGTAAGGAAGTAGCATATACAAAGAGAGGGAAGGATGTAATAAAACGGAACTATAAGTGACTTAGAACCTCTGGGAAGCAAAGCAGGGGATAAAAGAAGAGGCTGAAATGAAGAGGATTTGTGTCATGCTAAGGAGTTTGTAATTTACCTTAGAACACTATACACTGTTGGTGGGAATGTAAATTAATACAGCCAACTATGGAAAATGGTATGGAGATGTCTCAAAGAACTGAAAATAGAACTACCATTTGATCCAGCAATCACAATACTGGATATTTGCCTAAAGGAAAATACATCACTGTATCAGAAAGATACCTGAACTCTTATTTTTATCACAGCACTGTTCCTAATAGCCAAAATACGAAATCAACCAAACATCCATCAACAGATGAGTAGATAATGAAAATGTGGTGTATTTTCTTTATCTTTTACCATAGAATACTACTCAGCCATAAAAAAAGAAGGAAGTCATATCTTTTGCAGAAACACAGATGGAAGTAGAGGCCATTATCTTAAGTGAAATAACTCAGAAATAGAAAGTCAAATACTGCACGTCCTCACCTTTAAGTCGGAACTAAACAATGTGCACACACGAACATAGAGTGAAGAAATAGACACTGAAGACTAGAAAGGGTGGGAAAGTAGGAGGGTGAGGGGTGGGAAATTACCTAATGGGTACTACATACACTAATCAGGTGATAGTTACACAAACAGCATGGGATTTGGATTCAGAGAAATTGGATCTGAATGCCTGGAAAGCAGCTTAGATAGGTTGTAGTTAAGGATAAGGGTTTACTTCCCTGAAAACATTTTTTTAGTTCTATTGGATACCTAAAATATTCAACTGATTTTATTTTAAAAGAGACAAAATTCTCAAATCAAGAAAATTCGAACATACTATGATTAGATTCAAATGTATGTATGACGATAATGAGCCACACAGAAAAAAAATCAGTTCATGATATCATAATCATACCTTATATATGTGTGACATTTTCAGTTCTCAGACTACATTACAATAATTTGAATTGGTTACTTGCTGTGGGTAGGAAGTTAAGCCTGCTTCATTTGTTTATTCTCAAATCCTCACAAAAGAAAAGGCTTAGGGAAAAGGTATATTTCTATTCTTTCTTGTCTGTGTTGTAAAATTTCATTCTATTCTTGATTGTCTTTGTTGCTGTTATTTCTTTCCTCTTGTATTTAAACACTGATAATTACTTTTCAACAGTATAATTACGCTCACTTGGAATCTGTATAATTGTAGTATACTCACCTTTTCCAGTTAGGCAATGAAGAGTTTCTTTTTATTGCTGGAGCATCAATGTACAGCTCCTGTTTTTCTTTAAAAAACAGACAAAATAATCACATTTTGGTGATGGCACAGTAAACTTAACCAAAAGAAATGTTAGTAGTATATTAACTATCTATATATAATTTGGATTTATATTCAAACTGCCATTTATAAAACTGTACCAATTTTAAGGCAATTTATAATATGTTCTAAAAGTAATTTATAATAATCTTTTACTATAATAAAGTATATATAATAATTCAAGAGCCTCTATAACGTTTTTCCAGTAGTTTTTTAATTAATATTTATTACCTTCAATAATGGATGACTGATTAGGGCAGTTCAGATTCCCTACTTTCACCAGCCTCTAGCACCCACTGTCTCCCAGATTCAAAGATATTCTGACAGATCACAGTGAAAAATGTGTCTGCAGTACAGAGTTGAACTTTAAAGCAGGAAGAGACCTAGAGCTATCAAGTCTGTCTTTTCACTATGGGAACCTAAGAATTACAGGTTCAGAGAAATTGATGATTTGTTTCCAGTCCACGGCAAAGCAGAAATCCTATGATCCTCTCAGATTGGTTTTGGGGTGTTTGGGGGACAGTATAAGCAATGAATCAATCTGTCCTCCTTCTACCTATCACTAGAATTCTCTGTTATAACTGCCCAGGTATCTTGTTTCACTAAGTAAACCTTTGCCAACAAGATTAGGGCTATTGAAAGTCAAGTAGAACTGGATAGCAACAAGAGAAGTTTTAGTTGGTGGGTAAATGGCTGATGAGCTATCTGACTCTTTTAAAGAAAATATAAAAAAGAATAACCAGAGGTTTTCCAAGCACGCTGTTGGCACCATTGGTTTTACTCACTGACTTGCAGGCAAAGAGAAATTTTTTAACCCAACAGCCACCTAATGCATAATTACAGTCATTTGAAAATATTTCACAATTTGTTCCTGCCAAACCCAGGATAAGCATTTGAAATTAAATAATAATTTTAGCATCAAAATTGTATTAGCAATTTGTCTACGATTTGGAAATCCAACAGGACCACACTACAATTTGGAAATCCACAGTAATAGTTTGAAATGTCTATAAAAGATTGGCTTTAAAATTAAGAGACCCTTACAAAAGAAATCCTGGTTGTAGAATTGCAAATTACCGTAATTAAGATGTAAAAGAAAGAGTGTGATTTCTTAGGAACCTCACTAATGGGTTCAAACATAAAATTGTGAATGAATAGTTGATTGGGTTACTTAAGCAAGGAAGTACGAAATATGGAAGAGCTTACTACCAAAAGTGAACACAAACTAATGGCATGGATTGATAGAAAAAAGGATCAGGATTGGTGAAACCAAATGAGCCAAGACTTGCTGAGAAAACTAAAGAGTGCTCTAAAACTTATTTCAGAATGAGACAATGACAATAAAAATAATTGATGTGCTGCTTGGGCCCAATGGTATACTATTAAAATAAAAGGCAGAATAGCATAATACTAATATTATAATATATAATAAAAGAATTACAGTAATAACAATGAATAAACAGTAAGAAACTAAAACACTTTGAGTCCAGTTTTTCTCCAGTTTCTCTACGTATGAAATTATTATTGGATTGACTATTATAAAATGGCAACTTAAGTCTTTAAACAGTTCAAGTCTTTTACTTGAGCTACATTACATAACATGGATATGAAGAAACTAATAAATGTGCTTGTTGAACTACTCTTAGGGAATCTCAGAGGAACCAAGAAAAGCAGGAAAGGTACTTAAAGATTGAAAATAGGGGACAGTCAATATAATTTTCAAAACAAATTCTGAAAATTATAGAACTGATATCAATCTTCAGCAAAATTCTAAATAGAATTCAAGGCAGACTGTGGAAATTTTAGGCAGTGTGGCAATGTTAAGGATACTCTTCTCAGCCAGGAATCGTCTCTGCCCCTGCGAAACACATGAGATTGGCAGCTTACCCTCTCTTCACCCCTATTCCCACTTCTGGAACAACAAATTCAATTTTTTAAAATCCAAATTGCTGAGGAAGTTCTGATCTGTAACTCAGGCTGTCAAATAAGCCATATTGAAAACACCTCAAATATTATAGGTAATATATATATATATATATATATATATATACATATACTGAATTTTTTTACCTTTGTTTATAAGAGGAATTTCCTTTTTTTCTTGTTTCAATGAAACATCGGTGTTGCTTTTATTTAAAACCTGAAAAATAAGCTCTTTATTTAAAACCGCACAAAAGCATAGGACATAATATGAGGTTAAGGAAAGACCCTGAAGAGCAGTGCCCATGTCGGAGAAGAGAGATCAAAGCGTTACCAGCAGTAAAGTTACACGCATTTACTAAGGGAGAGAACCGTCACGTTGTAGAAAACCGTACTGGTATGCATCTCAAGGATGACTGAACTTTCATTGTTGTGTCTACTCCTATTGCTTCTCTAAAAAGATTTTTACATTTCTACCAATATTTGCACAGGTATTTTTAAAATCAGTATTTATACTGATGTAACAATGTCTCCAACAAACAAGTCAAGTATTTGATTCACCAGGAACAACCATGGAGCCTTTATTGTTTTGAGGAGGCTTAGTTCACCCCTGGCTGCTGGAAAGCAGACATGGAATGGAGCTCAACATCCGTGCAAAGAAAACCTGGGGGAGGTGGGGATGGGGTTGGGGAGCCAAGCTGGAATGTTGGTGGATGGGACATCTCATTTTCTGACAGAATCCCAGGGAAGCTGCATGGAAGGGGCTGCAGAGCCTTAATGCATTGGATGCAGAAGCCAGGAGGGTTGGTGGCACCTGGAGTGATGGGATGGCATGTGTGATGTGGGGAGTAGTGGTGAGAGGGTGGGGATTAGTAGAGGGAGAGATGGGGGGAGTGTGCCATTCATAAGCCACGGCTGCCATCCCTTTGGGAAACCAGAAAGGTCCATTTACAAGGCTCACATATAACAGACAAGGCTCACATATAACAGACTTCCTTAGATGAGAAAGAGAATGTGTGTTTAATGTCCTTCAGGGAAAGACACCCAGGATGCTCCCTTTACATATTTTGTAAATCTGTGAGAAGATGGAGGAACAGGCAGTTAAAAAAATAAAAATAAATTTAAAAAAAGGAAGAAAGGAAGGAAGGAAGGAAGGGAGGGAGGGAGGGAGGGAAGGAGGGAGGGAAGGAGGGAGGGAAGGCACAAGCTCCAGTCTACTACTTGATCTGAAGCCCCCTAAACACATGCTGAGACACGCCCGTGTTCCCCTATCTCTGTTACCTGGCACCAGGCGTGGACCTGTCAGTTTTTTGAAGCATACTCATTGTGCATGTATGCTTCCCCTTTCATGCCCCCTCTGACCTGCTAAACAAACATGGCATAGAGAGGATGTCATCCCTTTTTTTCCCCCCTCCCAGGAAACAAAGGAGTATTTTTACACAGCATTCTGGAAACTGGTCTGTGAGGAAGGAGGTTAAATGGGCACACATGTAGCCTAGCAACGAAATAACTGTGTAGCTGTCCATCATTGCCATTTTCTATTTCACCCAAATCAAGAGAAAGAAAAGCTTTGTGCGTAGGGAAGAATAAATAAAACTGCTTCTAAGCTACTTTTGTCTATTTCAAAATATTTTTAGACTTACAATGTAAACAAGTGCATGCTCCAGGAAGTAATTAAAATGCATATGTTTTAAAGATTTTGCAAAAATCTTGAAAGTGACTTTAAAATGTACGTTTTTATCTTATTTATTTTTGATAAGACAGAAAATTTAAAGTTTTCTTCTGATGTGCTGGTATATAAGAAAAGTCTACATGATATTAAGTGTTTCTGACTTTGGCCCAAATATTTTTTGACCAGTTTACGAGCAGCATAGACAATTTTCAGCAATAATTAACAGCAACCACAAGATAAGCTTAAGAGAGGAACTATCTATTGCCTTTAGTTATAACCACTTTGTTATAATCCATGATAATTATACTCAAGATATGTTAATTTTCTTTGGTAACTTTTTCTTATGATGAAATCAGACAAGAATAAAGTATCCAAGATTAACAAAAATGACACTACTCCCAGAAGAGAACTTTTGTTGTTAATGTTGTTAACACAGCCTCATGAAATTAATTACTTTTGTATTCTATTGCTTAGTTCTCTGCTTTGAGCTCTGCCTTGTTAGGGCTGTTTTCATTAAAATCAGGTATACACCCCCTCGACCTCAAAAATGTTACTTGTACAAAGCTTTACCATCTCTATTACAGGAGAGATTTCTTTTCTTTTCCTTTCCTGTATTTTTTTTTATTCTTTAGATTAAAAGCATAGAAATATTTAAAAGATTTCCAGACAAACAATTTACAGCCTATACTATTTATTTTTAAATAACATTATGTAAATATATTATTTTATAGGATGCTACCTTCTATAAAAATGTAGTTGTAGCTTGAGGTTATGAATTCTTTCAAGCTGAAACGAGAAGACTTATAGTTGTCTTCTTGATGACATTACTTGTATATTTTGATCTTAGTTATGCAGATTTCACATACATTACTTCATTTCATTATAGATATTTTCTTCAGTCAGTCTTAACTGTGCTTCATACTCTACAGCTTGGGGATGACTCTTTCCTAAGATTTTTACCTAAATTATGAAATGAATAACACCTCCTACACAGCAAATGAGATTATAGTTAAGTCTTAACATGGGGTTTAAGACACCTTAATTAAAGTCATGTTAACAATGAGCAGGGTGTGATTTATCTGTTCTCCAAGGGCTACAATGGATCAGCATAACACTGCATGCTCAATTTTGTAAAGTATCTACTTAAGAAGACAAATAAATCATAAATACGTTAGAAAGGGGGAAAAAAAAAGAACATACCATGGGCAGCTGTGTAACACCTGTCTAATTTAATTGCTGTTAAGAAAGCTTCAGAACTGGATGATGTCACTTTATCTGGTTTCTTTTCTTCTATTTCTTTACCCTCCACACCTACCTCAAGCACTTACTATTTTCAAGGACCCATCAAGGCTACCAGACCAGTAAATGCCTTCCTGCCAAGTTCAAGGATGCTTTCTGTTTGTACTCTCCCACCTTTTACAGTATGTTCTAGGCCCTCCCCTGTAGTCATTAAGTTACTCGGTAACACTGAACTCCCAGTGTGTGTCAGAGAATGTGATGGTGAAGAGTTGGAAGCCTTGCCTTTATGGATCTTATGTTCTGCTGAGGGAGAAAGATATTAAATAAATTAAAAGGTAAATATGGAATATAATATCAGAGGAGGGAAGTTCTGTGAAGAAAAATAATACCAGTAAGAGAGAGCAAGGTAGTGGCTGCATAATCTGACCTCTCTTCCTCTGTTGTCACCTCACACCCTTCACTTCTCTGCTCTAGACACTCTTCCCCAAACATGCCAGGCACACTCCTCTGTCCAGACTCTGGCTTGCTGTTTGCTATGGATTTGTGTGTCCCCCCAGCTTTTCCCTAGCCTTTCCTCCAGCATCCCCTCAGTGGGGCCATCCTTGCCATTCTACCTAACGCTGCAACTCACCTTTGCCACATCCAACACGGGTACCTCCTGTCCCTGTCCCTTGCTTTGTTTTTCTCCTTAGCACTTACCACTATCTACCACACAACATGTAACTTATCATCTCTTGTCTATTGTCTTATCCCCCCGCTAGCATGGAAGCACCACAAGAGCAGGGAGGATTGCCTGTTTTGTTTTGTTTTCTCCTGCTGGGTCGCCAGTGTCTAGTAACTGATATTCAGTATACTCACAGAATAAAAGCAAGTAAAAAAATCAAGTCATGGAAATACATGTGCTGCTGACAGTAGTGATGGGGGCAGTGTTGGTAGTGCAGTCTAGGCAGGGACAATAAAGGAAAGGTTTAGGATTACGTTGCTTGCTCTCTTTCTCCACCTGTGTTATTTTTCTTCACAGAACTTACATGAACTGATACTATATTACATTATTTATCTTTTTATTTCTTTAATATCCCTTAGGGTATTGGAGGCCAATGAAAAACATGGCAGCTACAGTGGACTGAGAGAAGAGATGAGTGTTGCAGTTTGAGGCCTCAAAAAACATCAGGTCAGGTCATTTAGGGCCTTGGGAGCCACAGAAAGGATGCTGGATTTTGTTCTAAGTATGAGGAGAAGCCATTGGAGAGTTTTGAGCAGAAAAAAGGCATAATATTACTTGTATTTTGGATGGAATACTCAGATTTTTAGATGGTAGAGGCCAAGAGAAGCAGTGAGATCATTTACAGAGCTATTGCTGTAGCCCTGGTAAGAGATGTTGGTGAGCTGGCCAGGGTGGTACTGTGGAGGTGGTAGACTAGGTTCTATGTTGGCTTGAATGCAGGGTGAGAAAGAAGACTAGAAATCCAGATGATTCCCAGGGTTTGGCCTGAGTAACTGTGAATGGTGGTGCCATTTATTGAGTTAGGGAAGCATGAAGATGTCTCTTGGAATTCTTTCCTCTCTTGCTTTCCATAGCCTTCTATGTCTCAACTCTCCCTGGGTAATTTATTCCTTTTCTGTCTACTCTCAATCCCTCAATGAACCTATTAAAATTTCAGGAGTTAAGCTACCCTCTTTATGCAAACAATGGCTTCATCAGTGTCATCAACCCTAACTTTTCACCTGTGCTCCAGTTACTTCCAACTGACCTCCTGACACTTACACTCCAATAACTTGTTTAAACTTCAAATCCTCAGTCCTAACTTTGCCCACTTAGTCTGATTCCCTTGGTCAACTCTTCTCTGTTTATGTATAATACCATTTTTGCTCCAGGTTTCCATCTCAGAGCTGCTTTCATTATTTAGTCTTGTATATTCCTTACCAAGTTGTACCATTTTTCCTTCAAAATTTCTTAAGGTTTTCCTTGTTTTCTTATGTTACAATTTATAGGCAGCAGCATCCTACTTGTTTTTGTTGGTCTTTAGTTGCTTTTCTTTTTAGTCTAAGCGATTATTACAATCTGATTAAGTTCTTTAAACAAAATCTCCGTGATTAGATGTTCCTTTTCAAAATCTTCCCACGGGTCCTGCCTGGTTACTATCTTGGGCACAAACTCTTTATTTGACTTTCAAAGCTCTTAATGTGATTCTAAGTTATCTTGACATAATTTTAATATGTTTTAACCAAAATCCTCTGTTATGGTCAAAATATTCTCTTTAGAATTCCCCAGAAGCACCATATATACGTTTGTTTCCACACCTTTGCCC